GGCGCCCCCCGCCCCCCCCCCCCCCCAGGGCCGGGGGGGGGGGGGGGAAGGGGTGTCCTGCCCCTAAGTCCCAATGTCTCAGCGCTTTAAGGAATCTTATGCCTCAGTTTCCCCACATCACGCTCCCTTATTGTGCAGTGGAGCCTCTGTAGCAATGTCACAGGATGCCTTTCAAGCATTGATGGCCCTGCTCGCATTTCACCACGCAACAAGTGGGCCAAGTAATTCACCAATGAGAACTCCTGACAAATGTCCATTTCCCCTTAAGTCCCAATGTCTCAGCGCTTTAAGGAATCTTATGCCTCAGTTTCCCCACATCACGCTCCCTTATTGTGCAGTGGAGCCTCTGTAGCAATGTCACAGGATGCCTTTCAAGCATTGATGGCCCTGCTCGCATTTCACCACGCAACAAGTGGGCCAAGTAATTCACCAATGAGAACTCCTGACAAATGTCCATTTCCCCTCATAACACTTAATCATTGCAATGAACAGAACTGTCGCAAGTTAGGGGTAGAGGTGATTGGATGAGTTATCTTCGATGTCACAATAGCCCCACTGAAATGTATCTAAGCCTCTCTGTAGCCTGTCTAATCATAATAATTAGCAATAACAATCATTAATAACCTGATTTAATTACAACCTAATTTCTTCAATTATAGTTTAATGCACAAGGTTTCCATTAATTTCAATTAGGCGGAAGTCTGAAGAGTCTGTCCCAAATGAACTCCCTAACAATATAACACAAAGAGACCCACAGATTCTACGCTTCTTAAAGGACCCGGTTCTTAATTCATTTCAAGCCACTCGGCCCTCAGAGAGTGAATGCGATTAGCCAGAAATGATCAAAGGCATTTTCCGTTTATAACGAGCCATTTGAAATCTGGCTTCAAGAGCAAAATGGAACTTGACCTTAACTATGGAGCCAGGATAATGCCCTCTTTACCCTGATGAGACTAAAGGGAGGATATGATAGAGGTCTATAAAATCATGATTGGTATGGGAAAAGTTATTTACTTGTTCACATAACATGAGAACTAGGGGTCACCAAATGAAATTAACAGGTAGCAGGTTTAAAACAAACAAAAGGACATTTTTCTTCACATAGTGCACAGTCAACCTGTGGAACTCCTTGCCACAGGGTGTTGTGAAGACCAGGACTTTAACAGGATTTTAAAAAGAACTAGATAAATTCATGGAGGTTAGGTCCATCAATGACTATGAGACAGGATGGTGTCCCTAGACTCTGTTTGTCAGAGGTTGGAAAGGGATGACAGGAGAAAGATCACTTGGGATACGTCTACACAGCAGCATTGTTTCAGAATAACATTGGTTATTCTGAAATAACTTATTCTACATCTACAAAACAAGCCCATTATTTTAAAATAAATTCAGAATAACAGGCTTCTCACTCCAACTTCTGTTCTCGTTGTAGAAGGAGTCAGGGAAGTCGGGGGAAGAGTGCTCTATTTCGAAATAAGTGCAGTGCAGACGTGCCCAAATTCAGATTAAGTTATTTTGACTAAAGCTACACAATTAGCACAGTTCAAGTTGTGTAGCTTATTTTGAGTTTAACTCTGCTGTGTAGACTTGCCCTTGCTGGCTCCCTTTTCTGTTCACTCCCTTTGGGGCCTTTGAGAAAAGCTGCAGCGCCCTCACAGCATCCTAGTGAGCTGGCCAGGCATCCGGTTTTGACCTGATTGTGGTTTTGTTACTCTCCGATCAGGGTCACTGACTAGCTCAGGATGCAGATCCGAGGGCTGATTTGGACGGGGAAACTTCTGGCTTGGAGGCCGCTGACCCACAGAAAAATCAGTCGGGGGCTGTACACAAGTGAGAAGAACCCCCCCCCCAAACAAACCCCTCACTGATGTGCCCCCCACCGAGAAGCAGAAGGACGTTCTCCACGTTCACCTTGCACACCCGATTCTTTGGGGAGGGGTCTAGGCTAATAGAATTTGTGTGCTCCAGTCTTGAGGGGGGGTGTATGGGAGTGGGGGTCAGAGCACCAGCGTGGGCTCCCCTATGCTAGGGGGAGCCCAAGGCTCAGGGGCCAAGCTGGAGGCTGCTTCCGGCTCTGGGCCTTAGTCGCACTTTCTTTGCAATGGCAAGGGTACCAATCAGGAGTGGGGGACCTAAGACGTGCTCTTGCATGGCTGAGCTTTTGCAGGCCGGTGAGACTCCTGTTTGCAACTACCTGCTGCGCTCGGCTTTTGGGGACCGCTGGCGACTTGGCCCAAAGAGCGCGCTGGGGTAGCAGCATCACAAAGAGTCGGGAACCACAAGGAACGGCAATCTCCCCTGCTCACTGCTCGCTGGCGCTGTGATGCTGGTCATGCCCATCTCCCTTCGGGGTGGCAGACCCATCCCCGACAAAGCATCAGCCGTCCAATGACAAAGCTGCACTGGACCTTTTCCCGGCACTGTCAAAATGCCGCAGCGCCCCCAGAGTCAGCCAGGAAGCAGCTCTTCTCCCCCCAGCACATCGCTCCTCGCACACCGGTCGTCATTTGCACCCTGCCACTGGCTGCGGGCAGGTCCGCTGCTCCCCCACAGTGTTCACCCTGTCCCAGCTCCCTGCTGCCCCCACACCCAGCTGGCTCTTCCGGGCAGCTGCCTCCCCCTCTCCTTACCCTGCTTAGCTGATTTCCTGCTCTCCACCTGGCCTGGCTGCCTCTCTTGTTCCTGTCCCACCGGATCTTTGTGCTAGGTATTGCTCAGCCCATCCCTTCCCATGCCTCGCCAGTTCTCTGCCCTCTCCTGCTTTGCCCCCTGTCTTCTATCACCATTCCCCTCCCTGCTGCCTGTTCCCATCCGAGCTCCCCCCTTTCCCCACCAATCTCCCAGCTGCTGCTCATTCTCCGCTGCACCCTACCTCGCAAAATCAAAAACAAAAAACAGTGAAGTAGTAAAAGAAATGATGAAAGTTTTCAGATTTAGGCTTTTCCAGGGAGCCTCGAGTTAGGCACACCAATCCCATTGGATTCCTATAGGGTTTGGTCACCTTGCTAGCGTTGGCATCTCTGAAATCTTCCCTCCATCCAACTTTACAGTTTTAACTCCCTGCTAGCAGTTCCTCTCTCAAACAAATAGCTCATTCAGCCCTTCCTGCAAGCAGGGGACACACAGAGGTTTGGACAACAAGCCATGAGGCTGTTGACTCCCATAGGAATGGTCTGAGGTCAATAGGATGAAGTTTAATAAGGACAAATGCAAAGTGCTCCACTGAGGACGGAACAATCCGTTTCACACACACAGAATGGGAAGCGACTGTCTAGGAAGGATACTGCAGAAGGGGATCTCGGGGTCATAGTGGACCACAAGCTGAATCTGAGTCAACAGTGTGACACTGTTGCAAAAAAGGCAAACCTGATTCTGGGAGGCATTAACAGGAGTGTTGTAAGCAAGACACAAGGCGTGATTCTTCCGCTCTACTCTGTGCTGATTAGGCCTCAACTGGAGTATTGTGTCAAGTTTTGGGCATCGCATTTCAAGAAGGATGTGGAGAAATTGAAGAGGGTCCAGAGAAGAGCAACAAAAACGATGAAAG